ATCGATATCTTTTTTAGATATCTCTGTCATAATCTTTAAAATTTTACAATCAATCTTGTGCATTACTAATTAAGTATCTGCAAGCAACTTAAAATTTAGAGAGATCATCTCTCTCTCTCTCTCTCTCTCTCTCTCTATATATATATATATATATTTGATAGCTGGGAGTTATCCACACAGTTCTAAAAGCTCATGGAAGCTTTTATTATTATTCTTATTATTATTACTACTACTACTACTATTACGTTTTAAAGGTTAAATGAATTATTTATACATGATTCAGAACTGAAACTGAGATTAATTGTTGCCCAAAAAATAATATATAAAGTAGTGCAAGAAAGAGGTTGCTAATAGAAGGTAGTGATCTAACTAGCTTGATTCTTCCTCAACAAAAGGAAACTTATTTCTAGCGGTTTCCATCATGCCAAACGCCACAATACCACCAACTTGGTTATTTTATTGGGATTTAATTATTTTATAAATATATATATTTTACATTAAACTTCACCTCAATCGGAATAAAACCTAATGTTGGCCACTTTTACAACAACTTTTAGGCAAACGAAATCTTTTCCTTCATAAGGAAGATCTTAACGTATATCTCAGTAGGTATGTGTACATATACACACACACACACACATATCATTTGTTCATGCATGCACTAATATAGAAATTTAAATTCATCATTTTTATGTTTTTGGTTGGTTTTGGTTCATGATAATCAAAAAAAGTTATAATGTCTTTGATTCAATCCATCCAGCTATCAAAGAAGCAAAAGTGGTTTCTTTTTCAAAAAAATAACACTCTGAGCCCAACATATCATATAGATATAGAAATTTCATACTGATTTTTCAAAATTTGACATGATATGTGAAGAAAATTGACAACTAATATTCTGAATTTCAACATTTTTTCTTAAAAAAAGTCTATAACTAACATATGTGAGAGCAGGAAATTGTATTCACATTGAGCTTCCAATAAAACAATTCACAAATTTTAATTAACATATACGACTATTGGAAAAAAGAAATTATTTAACTAACACAGATAATCATCTTTTATAGTTTACTACCAATTATACGATGCTTTATAATTAATCTTTTAACTCATACTTTAATTAATCTATGAACTTCTAGTCTTCTATACCAAGGAGGTAAGGAAACTCTTTTTAACATATTGATTTTGTTCATTTAAAAATATTCGAACTTAAAATCTTGTCGCAAACCTTTTGCCACCTGTAATAACAGATGTTGACCAATTTTTTTTAATTTCCTTTATTTGAATTAATTTTCATAAATAAGTTTTTGTGAATGTTGTTAAATGCTCAATAACTAAATAATTGAATCCATTGCCAAACTTATTGCAATTATATTATTGAAAGGCTCTTGACTATGAATAGTGCTCACTTGCAAGTGTATGTAAGGGACATGTGTTGTGCAATAATTAGAAAGGGAAGAATATAATTTTGGCAATAAATTAAGGTTCTTGCAAATCTATTTAAGGGACACACATGATTGTTGCTGAGAATATGGTAATCTACACAATAACTTAATCATAATATCAATTAATCATAATGCAATGGCCCTATGCCGTACATGTGTACAACAATGTGTACAGAAATTTCTATGCATATTAATATGGTTTGGTGCATGAATGTGCATATAAAATTGTTTCAACCATGGCAATTAGCAAAAATTGAGTCCAGCATTGATGATCTCTCTCTGGGATATTCCTCCAGTCCTTAATATAGGGTCCAATTCTTGAGTTAGTTTTGATTCTAAATATAAGACCAATTTCTTATATTTATCAATTTTCTCTAAATTACCCCTATGGATACTCCCTCAACCATAATCAAGTAGAAGAGAGAGAGGGATATTAAGAAAGATGATTATGGTGTTTAGGAAAAATGTGTCACTTTTTTTATAATTAACTAACTTACCTAACTTCCTTAATCTAATCAAATTAGTTAAATGGGTCTTATATTAAGGATCGGGGGAGTATAATAATAAGGTTGATATAATTTTTAATTTATGAAATTTGGCCCCATTTCAATTTTAATTTTTAAAATTTAAAACCTGTACTTTTGATTCTTAAAATTTACTCCTCCTATAAACATTAGCCCCGAAAGCTAAATATAACCAAACTGGCCAGCTCTGAAAAGGGAATGGCCACTTTTATGCAAACGCTCGCTTTCTCAAAGAAATTAAAAGCTGAATCCAAGGGTGCACTGACACGTAGTTTTCTTTTAATTTATTTTAAATGCATGTCCTTTTACTGAAGAAGAAAGAAAAAAAAATAATTTAAAAATGCTTTTAAAAAGTAAAGCTGAAAACAAATTAAATAACTCTGCCCTTTTATTTCAGCTCTGGGACACACTTTGGCCCATTATTTTAGACCCAAAAGCTTTAGCCCATTACTCATTAGCTGCTTAATATACGTTGTTGAAGACTACAATTTAAATATTTAAATATTTAATATTTAATATTTCTTTTGCTCAAAAAAAAAATATTTAATATTTCATTTCATTAGTCAAGAATTGGCGAACATGACGTTTGCATATGAATGCATTATCCCGACAGAAATTTATAATTTACCCCATATATAAAAATATACACTACCTCTAATCTTTAATATAAGAGCTCGTTTGATTTTTATTTTGGTCCCAAATATAACATCCCAATCCATTTTATCTCTCACATTTATCCCTTTTTTTAAGGCGGTCCTTATAATAATAGTAATTCTAACTAGTACACTTGATTAATAAGGATATTTTAGGAAAGATAACATTATTTATTGCAAATAACTAACTTAACTAGTTTTCTTAATTTACTCAAATTAGTTAATTAGCTCTTATATTAAAGAGCGAAGATAGTATAAGAGTTAGTTTAACTTTTATTTAGTCCTAAATATAAGATCAATCTACTAGTCTTTAATATTTATCAATTTCTCCTAAGATAGCATTTGTAGTAATTACACATGTTAAATATTTCATTAAATGGTAATTCTAGCTAATACACATGATTAGCAGAGGTATTTTAGAAAAGACAATACCTATTTATTATTAAAAGCTAACTTAACAAAATTCTTTAATAAATTCAAATTATTCAGTTAGTCCTTATATTAAATATCAGAGATAATGTGTGTGTATATATGGATGCATGCATTTATAATCTTTTCAAGTTCTGAATCCTGTTGGCTTCCACTTGGGGTGTGTTTGGATGAAACCAAACCGTGGTTTGGAAAAGTGATTCTGGAGAATAGATTCTGGGGAGAATAGATTCTGTGAAGAATAGATTTTGTAAAAAAGTGATTCTGAGAAGTGAGAGTGTTTGGATAGTTGTTATCAGAAGTACTTTTTATATACAAATTACTAAAAAAAAGACATAAGTTAATATGATAATTACAGAAAAAATAGATTTTATGATATATTTTAATTTGAAGGAATAAAATTGTTAATAATATATTTTTTACCAACATAATTAATAATACATAAGATAATATAATTAATAAATAATTAATATGTATATATATTTATAAAATATAAGATTAAATATGTTTATAAAAAAATATGTTTATAAAAAAATAACAAGATACATATCCTATAGGCTCTCACACTCTCCCTTTTTTCTCCAAAAGCAAAAAAATTTTGATTTTTTCAAAACCATGGTTTTGGAACCAAAACCATGGTTTTGCCCAAAACCATGGTTTTGATTTTTGGGAGGCTGTTTGGGTGACTTATTCTCCAAACCATGGTTTGGGTCCCCAAACCATGGTTTGGGGTGTCACCCAAACACAGCCTTGGATTGAGTTCGTTGCTCCATCGTCCAAAAAAGTACAGATAAAGAAGTGGAAGTCAAACAAGTTCAATTTTCAGAGTACCGATGTATATCACAAAACTACTTTTAAAATCATAATTTAGGGGTGTTTGGCAAACTTGTCAAAATCACTTTTGAAGCCCAAACTATAGTTTAGTCCAAAAAATTGTCAAACACTCCACATTTTTATGAAATTATGGTTTGACTCCAAAACCATGATTTGACCCACCTAAACCATGATTTTATGAAAAGTAAAATAAAAAAAATGTTGTTTTTTTGAAAATGTGGTCTTTTTTTCACATTGTAATACTACATATAATTCTTAATATAAGAAACAATTAACTAATTTTAGTAAATTAAGAAAATTAGTTAAGTTAGTTATTTTTGTTAAATAAATAATCTTTCCTAGCATGTATATTAGTTAGAAGTATCATATGTTAAAATATTTACATATGTAACTATTACAAGAACTATTTTTTAAAAAATAGATAAACATGAGAAAAAATGAATTAGGATTTTATATTTAAGACCAAATTGAATTTAAAAAAAAACTATTATATTAAATATCGGAGTTAGTGTGTTGTTAAAAAAACTAGTTGCGAAAAAATGTTATAAAATTTCATGTTTAAAATCGTTAAATAATATTTTTCTATTGATAAATACATATTTAATCTTAAATCTTATAAATACCTATACACGTATTAATTATTTATTAATTATATTTTTTATATATTATTTATTATGTTAGTAAAAAATATATTATTAACAAATTTATTACTTCAAATAAAAATATATTATACAATCTATCTTTTATATAATTATCGTACTAATTTTTGTTTTTTTTAGTAATTTATATATAAAAAATATTTATAATAATAACTATTCATACACTCTGATTTTATCAGAATTATTTTTTTACAAAATTTATATTTCCAAAATCTATTCTTAAAAAGAACTTTTTTTTTTCTAGAAGCTATTCTTTAAATTATGATTTGATTTTATCAAAACACCTTTCACTCAAACACCTCCTAATTTTATTAGGAAAAATGCTGTTCACAAAAAGAAAACGCTTGACCAGCGCATTTATAATTCAATCGCTCGATTCCCTTCACGAATTCAAATAAAAGTGTTTTAAAATAAAAAATTAATGCAGCTAACCCTAGAAGCAACAGTACCACCACTTGATTCTGACGTAAAAGACTCGACACCCTTCATAAATTTCTAGTCTGAATTGTGACCTAACACGGTTCAAATCTAAATATTGAATACTCAATGGCTTGTTAATTGGGGGGAAAAAAATGCATCTAACCTAATAGCTTTAAAGAACAAGAGGCCCAAATATGAAATTCCACTTTTCCTGACTCCCTATTAATTAGACATATGGATGAGGAAGTCAACAGTCTCAACTGCAATCTTTATTGTCCGTCACTGAAAATGGGAACCCAGCGCTAAAGAGCTAAGTCTGAATGATATACATACTTTATCTACAACCGGAAAGGGAAAATTGAAGATTTGAGGGGTCACAAATCATGATTCCAAGGATTTTTTTTGGTCAACTGATTCCAAGGATTTAAGAAGCCTGAATAATGCAGCTGCCTCTCTGATCCTTGAGAACTCAATGCAGAAGGCTTGAACTTCAATGAAAAGATCTTTCACTGCAAGATGGGATCATTTCTCAAGTCAGTAACGTGCCTCAATGCAATAAATTTCAAAACCTGATTTACATAAAGCAGGAAATGCATAAAAAGTTCCCATGGCAAAGAACTTGAGAAAAGCAAACAAAATAATTTAACCAAGGATTTCAGTACATCAACCTACTACTTCAGGCAAATTGCAAATGAATGCTTTGTTTATTAAAATATGAAGAATGAATCAACAGAATAAAACGCATCAATCAAAGTTCTTTATTTAGTCTCTCCATTGTATACTTAAAAGATTGGGTAGTCGATGAAGCACACTGGTCTAATGTGAAATATGTAGCCCACCCCACGTAGGACAAAGTTCGTTTTTGTCGTAAAGTTTCTTTATTATAACACTAGTATTCTAAGATCTCACCTAGAAGATAATCTCTTCCGGTTCAAAACTCCCTCTTCATATGTGCTCCATCACGTGTACTTTGAAAGAAACATTGGTTGAACATATTGTCTCACCAACCAAATCAATAATAGTCCAACGATTTGTTAGCAACTTATCTGTACTTGGAAAGATTTACTGGAATGTATGCTCGCTGATTAACAATACAGCAAGGAGTTCTATGCTTGCACGAAAGTCACATGTCTGGGTAGAGAAAGGAGGGAAGAGAAAGCCCTCCCTCTTGTTTGGGAATTTAAATTGGGAAACTGAGCAATTTTATTATATGCCAACAAGAACTTCAATAATTATTTTCAATCAACTGGACTGTAAATATCATGCTTTGCAAAGCATCTGAGGTGGGCCCTGCTCTTTATGACTTGTGAACATAAATTGATATATTGATTCTTTGTCTTCTCTTTGGGGCTTCCAACAAACTTTAATATACTTCACATTTTCTATTTACAAAATTTTTTGCCTAGACAGCTTGTCAGACACAGCAACTCTTCCCCTTTCCAACAGTCAGATATTAGAAAATAGATTACGCCATCTACAGGTTTTAGTCACCGAAGTGCCAATTCTATTCCCTAATGTGTTTGAAGAACCATTCTAAATGTTGAATCAATACGCAAAGTAACAATTGCTAATATTTACTTCAGTCAACGAGAATTTGAGGCAGTCAAGAAAGTGAGCACCCAGGCCTGCTAGGTGAGTGCTATACAGGCACAGAGTATAATAAAATCACTATTCTATTTGAATCATTCACAAACGTGCATCTTCCTCATCCCATGTTTATAAACCACTAGGGTTGCAAGTCTATGCAACAAAATTCCCTATACTTCTTTTTCTTAGTAGCTTCCACTAACACTAACACAAGCCAATACCAATTAATGCCATATAACATTTATACTCGAATTGCTATGATGACAACAGTTTTCTGTAAATCTGAATAAACTTACCATTAATAATGTCATTTCGAATAAGGCTCTGTAGAAAAACGCATACAAGTCTCACGAGCCTGTTCTGCATGTACTTATCCTGAGAGAAACAGTAGATTTTAAATGCCTATTAGTGCCACGGCACAAGTGCAGAAATCATGCAACATTTAATAGGCTGCACCCTGCCCACAAGACACATGCAAAGTGCAGAGATAGGGGGGGGGGGTGAAAGAATTTTGAGCGTGCATCTCTCTATGAACATAACTCCCGTGGATACACAAAAACAAACTAAAACTGCAAAACTTGTAAGCAAAATGGGATGCCATTAAAACAGTCTCATATCTTAAAAAGACCTACAATATTTAAGAATATAGCGGGATTCCAGTTACCCAAAGCTAGCATATCAGTATGTCAGACTCAGCATACGGACTATATTTTTTGTGCAAAATCAGTGCTTAGGTTTTGCAGAAAATGAAAAGTTCACGGAGGCACCTTGATGTTCACACAGGATGATATACAATTAGTTATGTACATGTGAATGAACTCAGCAGGAAGTTCAACTGCTGTTGTAAGCCTGTTCACGACTTCCATAGAATGAAGACTCATGTCCATATTCACAAGTACTGTGAAGTATCTGTACACATAAATAGGCAAGCCAAAATAAAGAAAACAAATGAGATTGGGAGATTCATCGCATAAGAGAAAGCAAGTAGGTAGTATATCAATGAACATCTAGATGCTTACTCTGCAATTTCTGGAGAATTTATCAACTTAGTTAGAACTTCAACCGCAATAAGGGGATTGTTCTCCACCAATTCCTGATAAAAGTAACGAGAATAAAACATAAAGACCTAGCAAGTGTCATGATTTGCCAGAGTGATTACAGGAACACTTACTGGCAACTTTCTGGGCGTCAGCCCACAGTGATATACAAGCTTGGGGTCATTTGCCAGCTCCACCAGAACTTGCTGGGTAACAAAAGCACAAACATCTGATTCTTCGTCAAACAGTTGAACTCATACAGATTAAGAAACAGGTATCATTTTTCACATAGTCGTGATGCAAGTTGTAGAAACTACAATCACGTTAGGTCATTCAAGTAAACCCTAATTTTTTTCTCTGGCACAACTCAAATGATCCGAACAGCTAAAAATGTCCAGAGTGATCAGAAATTGATCTTTCTCCTCGTCCAGGGTCCACAGATACAGTATTGTTAGTCTTAGCAAAAGTTGAGCAAATTCATGAAATCACTATTTAATCAAAGTGGCATATACAAATTTAGAAGTCAGAATGCCACTTGTGTCCAAAATAAGCAAATAATTTGCAGGTGCATCATAAGCACCGATTAGCATAGTAGCATTACTGAGGTTCTGATGTTAAAACTTGCATCATTCATTATCAAGGAAAATAGTAATCACCTCTTGCTGTGCTGGCGCAAGTGCCCCTTTCAGAGCCTTTGCAATTAAGTCCCTTACAGCTGCCCCTCTGCTAGTATCAACACACATACCATAGTCCCATTGAAGTTCATGATTGTCATGGGGGTTGAGCCAAACTAGCTGAAGAAAATATTTTCCAAGCATAAGTAGTTTATCTACTAATCTCTTTAAATTAGATCTTATATATTCCAATCAGTACCTCTCCATCCTGTACTGGTAGTCGGGGTGGACGAGGCCTGATCCAGCGAGGACTCAACCCTTCCAGTGATAGATTTGACAGCAGCCCAGATACTGCCTCATCTTTATCTCCAGATCCAAATTTAGCTTTCGTTCCAGGTTGTATATCAAACCTACAGTAAGAGCTTAATGTAATGTGCAACACATGAAATTATGAGAATTAGGGTTTACACTCCATTACAAATTAATTTTAAAGGGTCTGGTAACAAAAAGGATAGCAAAAGTCTGAGGCAATGGGCCGTCTATGGGATTTTCACGTTTATCAGCTAGGGAGGAATATGCCCCACATCTCCAAGGGTGTTTCTTTGCCTTTAGAATAGATTTGCTTTTCTGTCTTGTTTTTGGTGCTCTGCATATGGTCTTTTTAAGGCATTCAGTTTCTTTATGTTCATAGAGAATGGATGGCTCTCATCCGTAGCTTTGTTTTCAGACTGCTTTTGTTGCCTTTGTCTGAGAATTTCTTATACTCAAATCTTCTGTTATCTTTATCTCATCAGAATTTCCGTTATCAAGAAAACAAAAGGGAAAAAAGTTGCACTCCAATATATAAAGCCATACTCTGGTGAGTTTGCATCACAACCATGTGGTATATCAGGATCTGGGACTGCATTTTTGACAGAATTATCTTTAAATAAGCACTTATATTGTTCAGGGTGCTCTTTAACAGAAAACTGCTGCTGCAACTGATCTAATTGTGGGAAAACCTGGAATCACAGGGAACAAATAATTATTTAAAAAAAAAAAAAATCAAAATGTCTGCCTCAGAAAGCAGGTTTAGCTTTTAAAGTTGAAATATCTATTGATCCATATGTAGCTTACATGCAACGACTGATCAAATCCTTTCACATAATCTGCCGCAGACTGCTTAAGAAACTGCAATCCTCCAGCCAAGGTAAAAAGACATCAGAAATTGCAAACTTAAACCATCTCCCCAAGAAAGAAGGAAGCAACTAAAAGCAACAAAACAAACACATGATGCCATGTATGCATTTACCTATAACGAATTAGATTCACAATAAAAAGAACAAATAAAAATAGTAAATCAACCGGAGGATCTAACACCGCAGCATGCCAGACATGCATTATAGAGGGTAACCCATTATCAAGAACGTAAAACATGACAATTATTACTAGTGAAAATATAAAAATTCACTCAAGATAACCTCTCTGCTATTGTTTGAGCTATCAAGGCCTAGCAGCTCGAGAATAAATGCCCTTTCAAATTTTTCAGCTGCATCATCACAGGCGGCCTGTTTGATTAAAATGATATTTATGTCAGCAGTTACATAACGAATCAAATCAAAAGAAATACAAGCAAAGAACTCAACACAGATGATAAAATAACCAAATCAAATGCAACTCAAACTCCATGTGACGTTGTTTTATGGCCATGATTATATAAGCCTTAATGGAAGGCATCAAGAGCCATAACCAAGATTAGATAACATCTCATCTAACAGAGAATTCATGATCTAAAATCACTAAGGGGACTTTCAAGGAATGCATAGACATAAAAGGTCTTATGGTATGGGAGCATTAAGTAATAATCAACAACCAAAGTAACATAAATTTATTACTTCCCTAGTATGCACACCATACTCGTGGTTCTATTTTCATGCATGCTATAGCAGTATTTATTTCTTAACACTAAAAGATTACGAAATGATAAACCTTAAAACCCGGCTTAAAAGTATTGTCACACCAGATGGGCAGTGTTTTTATGTATACCCAGCTAATTAGTATTAATGATAGCTGATTGATCAGCAGAATGGCTTCTACCTAGTCGTTCATTACCATAATCATAACCAGCTGAAAGATAATATCAAGAAAGTTCAAAATATACAGTGGCATGCCCTTCAGCAAAGCCCAACAGCATTATTGAACTTAAATTAATGAGACATGAAATAACTTAGAGTCATAAGCATTATATCCATTTCAAAACATTCTGTCTGTAGCTTGCCATGACTACAATATATGAGGGTGATTTTTCAAAAGGACCTTCAATTACTTAAACAAGGATAACATGAATGTATGATGAGTTAAAACAGCTTCATAATGACAATCCGATAATAAATTTCATCTTGTGACTAATTTCAATTATAAGGCCTTATTTAAGTCAGGTGAGGTAAAATAGATGGAGTGCAATGATATTCGATTAACCAAAAAACTAATTTTCGGGTTCAATATCTATCAAAGTCTCTTTCAGCATTCTGTATCTAATTTTGTTGCTAAATATTATCTGACAGAAGAGTTGGTTGGCTTAGTTAAAGACTAACAGGGAATAAAAAATCTGACCTTGGAGGCAAGAGAAGACATGAGGTAAAACTAGTTTTCTCACTCCATTAATGATAGGAGAAAGATAATAAACAACTTAGGATGTAGTAAAAAAAAAAGCTGCACCTTTACGATTAAGTTTATGAAGGGGTTTGAAGCAGGTTTCTGTGACGAGTACGCTTGATGGAGGATGGCAAAAGCAACCAAGCGCTCAGTGGATTTAAGAATCTTCTTGTCCTGTCCATCAGAGATTCAAACAAGTCATACTCTACTATGGCCACATAATAGCTGAGGAATTAAGAAGTAATAAACAACAACAATAATAAAGAATGTTAATGATAATGATATATTTAGTTATGCGGTAATACGGTAATTGCATGAACTACAGAACTATCAAATTTTGATAAGCCGTTGAGAGAAACAAGATGACCAAGCATGATATATTTAGGATGCGCCATATGGATTCTTTTTCTCGTCAAGGAGCAACTGTCGTCACACATGAATATGGTAATGAGCATGACCCCCAGAAACCAAAATGGAGAAACCAAGAAAACTTTAATAATAAAGAAACTGATGCATTTGGGTAAGTGGATGCATGTCTTTAAGAACTTAGATGCAAGAATCTACATTTGTCTGTCTTTAAACAAAAGGGATATAAATGTTATTAACATGTGGAAAGGAAGTATAAACAGGGCATCCTGATAAGAAGTAGATAATAAAATGGTTTAAATCATTCCATGTCACAGAGGCCTCGGCCAGCACAGCCGCATCTGAATGGAGCACCATGCATATGAACAAAACAAGTCCCATATCTGTTAAAGAACTCACATGATATCATTGGGACATGAAAAACTCCTATTCCCATAGATAAAAGAATTCTTAGCTATGCAGTTCAGCTAAAAGATTGTTACATCGTCAAATTCAAGACGGCAAAAACCTCCCGAAACCCAATCCATTACCATTCCCTCCATAAATCGGCAAGCAACCCTAAAATTCTAAGGCCCAGAACTCAATCAACTCAATCATATGCCCGTGTATGAAAAAAGAGGAGGAACAGAAAAGATGAGGGATTAGATTGACTTGCCTCCAAGAGCCAAACGATATTTGAGCAGACAGTGAAATGGTGTTGGCGAGAGATCTTAGAGTTGAAGTCAGCGATGACATCGTCCAGTGGACGCTGCTCCGATTTCAGTAGAGAGTACAGCGTCAGAGACTCTTCAGCACTTAACTTTCTGATACTCATCGTCTCCCTCCAGCTTCGGCGTTCACTCCCCCCACTCTAGGCGATACGAGACAATTCTCCGAGAAAGTAAAAAGGAGAGAGAAATTGGTGAATCCGCGGCCCATCACTCTCACCAAAGGATACCCCTACTTTTTGTTCGGTCAAAAATACCCCCGAATTCCTATTTTGTTGCCAATTTAATCATTTGTTTCCATGTCAAAAATAAAAAAATGATTTAATGTATTGAGTATGAAAATCCGTTCATTAACCTAGAACGTGTTTGGATAAAAATTAAACTATTATTTTAGAAGTATTTTTACAGTATATAAAGTAAATATGTAGAGGAGTCTGTCTTATTTTGAAAATTTTTTTTTTTAAAAAGCACTTTTCTAGGTTCCCAAACACACTCCTAATATATCATTTCTAAATAAGGCTAAAGACATGAACCATGTGGCTAGGTGCAAGCCTACAGTAATATTGTTTGTATAATAAAAATATCAAGAAATATATATTAATACCTATCAAAATTTAGTATATAAAATTTATTAATTATTAATTTCAAATATAAGATTTAGAACCTAAATTATCTAATATTATAAAAACCTAATTTATTAGTATAACTAAAAATTATGAATTTCCCATTTTTCATCATGATATATCTATATGAATGTATGATGGCAACGGGATGATTTGTTTTAGCTTTTTAACTAATGATTTATTTTTGGATATTTTAAAGATTTTATAAAGAGTTATTCATTGTATAGGAATTTTGAAAACCAGATTCTTTTGCATCTAATTATAATAAGTGAACTATTATTATACATTAATTTTATGATTTTATGATATCTTATTGGGTCTTTGTTGATAAAGAAAAAACAATGGTTTTTTATTTAGTTATTTTCAAATTGTATGATTTATTGTTTGAACTGCTTGTTGGTTTTTCTGTTTTATATTTCTGATGATGTTTCGGGTTAGATGGACAATAGGGAAGAGAGGAAGAATGTAGGTAAGAGAAAAGGGTAGGATTAATCTATTCCTATTTTAAAATCAATTTAATTAAAATGCCAACAGAATTTTTTTCATTATGTTTCAGTCATTCCAAAGATACTTTTAATCTCAATTAATTTATATTCTATTTTTATTTCCATTAAAATAATTCCAGGCAACCAAACGGAGCCTAAAACTAAAAGTGTTTCTTATTAAGCACTACCTCCGATCTTAATTATAAGAGCTAGTTGACTAATTTGAAGAGATTGAGTAAATAAGTTAAATTAGTTATTTGTAATAAATAAGTGTTGTCTTCTCCAAAATATCCTTGATAATCAAATGCATTATTAGCTAGAGCTACTATTATTAGAAGGACTACCTTAGAAAAAGATAGATAAATATGAGAGATAAAATAGACTAAGGTCTTATATTTATTATCAAAATAAAAATCAAACGAGATGTTATATTAAAAACCGGAAATAGTATAAATAGATTCATGCATGGGATTATTGAGAATTATTGTATCTTAAACCGAGATGATTCTGTTCTCTGTTTTGAAGGCATGATACAAGGTAACATTCCAATTCCTCATGACGAGGTTATTAATCCTCTTGATAGTGCTAGATGATAGTGAGAGAAGTTGCTCATTATGAATGGGCTAGATTAATCCACTTATGAAATTAATATTAGTGCTCATTTTTTCAGTTATTTTTTTTTACCGTCAAAGGCATGATTGTTTTTCTTGTGATTTGGGCTTTTTGTATAATAGATTTTTAAGTGTTTTAATTTTTCAAAAGCCCAATAAAAACGAACAATGTCATATAAAAAAGAGAAAGCCCAAAATTCAGACCCAATTTATACGAGTTTGAAGGGGGGAAAAAGTGATAGAACACCCATCTCATCTTGTTCTGAATAAGACTGGAACGAAACACGGAACAAAAATACTATATTATTACTGTTTATCAGGACGGGACCAAAAGAAAACCATCTGAGTCCCGTCCATCTCATGAACACCCTATAAACATAGACAATTAGTTGAGTTTGGTATGGTTCACTGTGTTTAACCAAGCCGTTTAACTCTAGGATAGTCCCCCCTAAGGATTTGTAGGGTATAGAATCGATGGAATTGCAACCAAGCGGGTAGGTCCGATCCTTTGGCAGACGCTAGATATCTCTCGACTTTGGTGTACTTGATTTGAAGGTGGTCCCAATCAGATTTCCAAATGAATGATTTAATACATCCGCATGTGGGTTATCTCTAAATTTTACACCAAATTTCAGAATTGTAATTGCAATTTAATTTCATCTTTTCGATGGCTTCGTATGAGCAGATTTAATGGAGAAATTGCCGTCAGAAGAGGATCTCCCAACAAAAGAATGTCGTCATCTCCATGTAGATTTACTAGTCCAGGTACAGATTGATCCCTTTAGATGAAGACGTGCGTTTACAATTATATATAGTTCACTCAAGCATAAAATTATAAAGATATAAAATTATGAGTGAAGTAGCGTTCGGTACCCTAAACTTATTTTACAGGTGCACTCAATATCTTAATTTTTTAAAGGATGCAATTTTATCCCTCATTTTTTAAATTTGTAGCAATTTTAACTATGACTAACTTTGCATTAAACTCCATTTAAAAACCTTGACACAGCTTTTTTTTTTTTGAAAACTTCCACGTAAGCATATGACATGAAGATGGCTGATCTGAATCTTTTTAAAAAATTTATTAACTTGCATTTTTTAACTTTGAAATTTGATCAGGAACCCTAACGCGCAGGAACTTGGTGGCCGCTTGTACCTATGGTCTTCATCAACTTGGTGGGCTCTTTTCTTCCTGTCATCTTCAACCAACACATCAAATGCCACATCATCTTCGTCTCATTCCACATCATCTCCTAGATTCCCATCTCCTTCCATTTTCTAGATAAAAAACCCTTTTTAGTAAACCCTATTTGTTTTTTTTTTATGGTTTCAGTGAGACTATAGAAGGAAAACAAAACCAATACACATTCATTCTTGCCTTTTAATCGATCTTTCCTTTCTGCTTGAAGATGAATTTCCTCACCTGATTTTGATGCTTCTCTACTCTTTGACTGCTATTTGCATGATGCTTCTCCACTCTTCTTTACACGTTGAAATACTGAAGGGTTTTTTTTTTTCTGATTGAAAAACCTAAGCTTATGTGGAAATTTCATTATTATTAGGTACCATGTCAATATGTTTATCTGGAAGTTTTCAAAAAAGAAAAAAGCCATGTGTCAAGGTTTTTAAACGGAGTTTGATGCAAAGTTAGCTCTGATTAAAATTGCTCCAAATTTAAAAAATGATGGGTAAAATTGCACCCTTTAAAAGATTAGGGTGTTGAATGTGCCTGTAAAATAATTTTAGGGCGTTAAGCGCTACTTCACCCTAAAATTATTGAGAATAATTAAGATTTTAACCAATAATTTTTGGGAAATGCAAAATATTTGACATTATACATCGCATGGGGTGCAAATATAATTACATAAAAATCAGATAAAAGATAATGAGAATTCTTATGGAATTTCAACAAAAGAGTCTAATAATAAAAAATTCTCATAATAAGTAACACGATAACAAATTGTAAGATGTAGGAAATAATACCAGATCCACGCCATTCACTTGTTGGAAAATATTTGTGATTATATTTTTCTTCTTGAGATAAAAAGAGTTAAGGGAAAATTAATCTTTTAATCCTTCAACTTTTAACTTATTTGTAACTCAATCCCTCAATTATGATTCAGTACAACTCAATCCTTAAACTTTTGACCCGCATATAACTCAATTCCTTATCTTTTCAATGTTCATATTACGATCCTTTCCCTCCACGACTCTATTTTATGTGGCAGCACACTCTTCCAACTCGGCTCCACCCGGTTTTTTTGTTTTTAACAAAATTTAAACAAAAAAAAGGTGCTGCAGAGGATCAACGAGGGGAAAAAGAAAGTTGCAGAGAAATTCACATCATCGGACACAGGTTTTCTAGCACCTATCTTTGTGGTCTCTGAAAAACAAGACAGCCATGTCCCCATAGATGAACCTAAAGATTCACAGCTTCACATAGTGATGAAGGCGGACTCACCCAAGCTGCGGAAGAAGAAGGCGAACTCATCCAATTCAAGGCATTCCTCATATTTTTGACAGTGGCTTCTCAATTTGTTTAGCCGAATATGCAACCATTGCTTTCATTCTGGCATTTGTTTCGGTGATACATCAATTCTTCTTCCCCTTGGCACCTTCTTTCAATTATTTTAAGCTATATTAGAACCCAGGCCTTCCCATTAGTTCATCGATTGAACTAACAAGCACTGATGTCAGCAAAAATTGATAATAAGGAATTAATTTAAAGCACCAGTTCCCCATCTGATGCATACAAGGATATTATCAAATGTGATTGTCTTGTTTTTCAGAGACCACAAAGACAGACGCTGGCAGGCTTAGGTTTGATGATGTAAATCTCTTTGCAACTTTTTCCCCCTCGTCAGTTCTCTCTAGCCCCCCTTTTTTTTTGTTTAAATTTTGTTTTTAAAAAAACCAGGTGGAGTTGAGTTGGAAGAGTATGCTACCACATATAACCGAGTTGTGAAGGGAAAGGATAGTAATATAAAAATTAAAAAAGATAAGGGACTGAGTTATATGAGAGTCAAAAATTCAGGGACTGAGTCGCACTGGGTTATAATTGAGAGATTAAGTTATAAGTGAGTTAAAAATTGAGAAACTAAGAGATTAATTTTCCCAAGAATTAAAACGTTTTACTGACCGATGCTGCCCACTGTCTATAATTATTCATCACAATTCCCCATTGTTGCCTGATATAATTTTTCCACAACTACCATTCTACCAACATAATACAGGCGAAGCATCTTAGTCTTTTTACTGTTTTTTTTTTGGGTTTAAATTAGGAAAAAAGTAAAGAGAAAATGGCCAAAAAACAGTGAAAATTGTAAAATATTAAATCAGGTATTTTTACAAAATATATTGTTATTTACAAATTAATTATTATCAAAATATATTAAAGTGTTGAAACAAATCCCTGATATGAGATTTAGTAATTTTCATGATT